CTGACAAAAGTAGATATGAGAGGACTCCAGGTATCACCTCCCTCATGACGTGACCTTGACTCCCTCAAGGTGAGCTAAAAAATATCAAACTCCTGTCTGAAAAACCACAGAGAAGCTCCAAGCTCTGTCTGCATAACACGAACAGTTAAAGGGAGGAACGCAGGCATGGACGTACTGCAGAGCATAAGAGACACTACAATGACTCAAAGAAGGAGCTCTCCACCATCAGGAGACCGCTCTCTTTGATTGATAGCAGTTTTAAACTGGAGTGAGACAAAGAGACACATGGGAGAATTAACCCAGGCTGTAATTTCAGAGGGGAAAAATTTTCACTGGGCAAAACAAGACCATCCCTAGCAGTAAATTATCAAACAACACAAGATTTCCCATTGGAGAGGTTGTACTAAATTACTCTCTCATTTACCCTGATACTCTCCTCTTTTCACCACCACTACTCTACAGATCTTTTTACTCTATTCGGACACTCCTCAACTCAACCTGTGCTTTGCCTGAGCCCTTGTCTTTTGTCTCTACAGTATGCCTCTTCATCTCTTTTTCCCTTCTATCAATCCTGACAATCTTTATAGCAAACTGGAGCAGTACCAAAGCCTAAGGTGCCCCCTGTGGGGGATTGTGCTGAGCACTTCAGACAGATGACGAGGAAGTCTGCCATCTTATGAGGACAGGTGAGCTCTGTCTGTCAAGCAGACGCAGCTGCTTATTATAACCTCTTAAGCATCCTCTTGCATCCTCGGCATTTGGGGTTAGAAGGAACGCTCGGCACTTATCTCTTTGTTGCACTCTGCCATCTGCCATAAATTTAGCATGAATGTGTGACATGTGACCAATCATGCACACTTCTCCCTGACAGCGTGAGTCAAGTGGTACAGAGCAGTGCTTCTTTCACTCAATCTCACCCACATATATATATATATATATTTTCTGCATGTGTGTTTATTAGACACTTGGGTCCCATCTTTAGAATTCTCAATGCTTCAGTAGATTTGAATATGACCTCTCCATGTAGGATACCTCTCCCGTTCTAGCAAGGGGGCGTCCTGAAGAAAAATCCATAG